ATACATTTTACCTTGTAAAAACATTCATTCATTAAAGACAAAAAAAAAAAATTACCTGAACACGTCCTTTCGCCAGGCCTGAGGCTGAGATCTGGGGTCACAGCAGCGGACGTGACAGAGGCCGTCCTCTCCACCCTCTACTGCAGCGGCCTGCTGCGTAGGGACAGGCACAGGGACCAGCCGCAAAGCATTCTGTACACATTACAGCACTCACTGCTACACTGCTACATTATGTGCTGGCTTATGCTGTTTCTTAAATATTGACTATTGGTTTATCTTGTTCACGCCCTCCCAATAATGTTTCTCAGAGGCCAGAGGCTGACCCTCACAAAGAGGGCTGCTAGTTAGATGAAAGAACACAAGATTCCGAACCAAATGGTCCTGGCTTCAAAACCTCACTCTACCATTTGCAAACTTTATGGCTATGGCAGAGACGGCAGCTATCCCCAAATTCTCTCCTTTCCTTAAAGTAATGGAACCCAAAGTTTTTGGTGGGGCACATGGACACCTAAGGTAAGTATAGTGCTTCCATCCCCTTGTAAGTAAGTACAGCCCTATGAAGAAGTTCTAGCAACGGGTACATAAGCAGAACAGATGCGTGTTAATTCCCAGGAAGTAACCTTCATCTAAGATAACTTGCCTTTCACTCCCCTTTTCTTCCTTTCTGACGGCTGGGGCTGGAATGGCCATCCTGGGCCCTGAGAAAGTCTTGGGAGCAAAGGGTGTGCGTGTAAAACACACAGAAGCCTGGATTCCTAATGCTGCAAAGTGCTGCGGTAACCTGGTCAGTGATCCACCTTAGTCAACTTATTTAATCTCTTTGGACTTCAATATCTCTGTCTATAAAAAAGATCATACAAGGTAACTATGTTGCAGGGTTGTTTTCAGAACTGAACAACAGGGTTTGGTTCACACTAAGGGCAGAAGTTAGGAGAGCTGGTATTATTGCTGTTATAAAAGTGACAGCAGTCTTGATGCAGTGGAAAATATAGCAAGAAGAAAGCATTAACACAGCCCTGGGTGCCCAGAGGCAACTCAATGATTGCACAGTTGAAAGAGGCTATGTGCCCTGAAGGTACTGGTCCCCAGGCTCGGTGCCCAGGGTGACCCCCACCGGCAGGACTGAGAGATGATGGATGTTGTAAAAGCCGGAGCCTGAGGGATCTCTTAGGTCACTGCACACGCCCCTGAAGGGGATAATGCGACCTGGCCTTTTCCTCCTTTTCATTTCCTGTGTGATAAGGGGAGCCGCTGTGCTGCACCATGACCCTGCACCATGATGTGCTGCCTCACCACAGGCCCAAAAGCAGCAGGGTCAATCGATCATGGACTAGGCACAAAATAAACCTTTTCTCTTTGTAAGTTAGTTGTGGCAAGTATTTTGTTATGGTGATGGGAAACTGACTAACACAAAAAGCACCCTGATGAGAATTCTCTTCTCCAGAAAGACGCTACCTCTGGGACAGTGTTACAGTGGTGGTGTTGGTCACCCATAAATCACGAGCCTCATCACTTTGTTCCAGAACCCTCCCCCGAACGCCCCAAACCGTTTCACTTCTCTCCTCTACCTCCTCCTCTGCTTCTGCCTTTGATCACCACAGTCCTGCCTCTGCACTCATGCCCATCAGTACATCAAAGCTCCTTTCAACTTCTTCTGGGAGCACCTTCTGGCCCCTTCCCTAAGTGGGAAGTAAGAGATCACTTACTCGGTCCCCTCCTGTTCAAACAAGAGACTTCTGCAAATGAACTTCTCGCCCATCGGAGAACGCGAATGATCACCAGCATCTACAGGTCCCTCATGTTGGACCCCGGGATTGGTTGATTTCCCAACTCCTACATTTTTCACTGCTAACACTTTTCAAGCTATTCCATCCTGTTTGCAACACCAGCGCTAGTCTGGGAGGTAGAATTCTTCATGGCACCCAAAATCGAAATGTGCTAAGCTTAGATTCATCTTTACTGATTGTTCTTTTCCTGCTCGTGTAGACCCAAATCTTATTCTCTTCTCCCACAATGCTGTCATGCTCCCACGTCACTGACACAGACGCAGCCTGCCCTCCAGCACAGACACGGCTCCAGTCCCTCTCCCTCCCTCCTCATTCCCTCTTCTTTACACTCAAACCAGCCCTTACTTACTATCTCTCTCATCTCTGACCCCTCTGGCTCCATCCATTCTCTCTAGTGAGACTTTACTGTCCTCCCAGCTCACTCAAGCCCAGGCTTAAGGAGGGTTTGTAGCCAGGACTGCAAGAGACAAAAACATGACATAACTGTCAAGAGGGCAAGCACAAAGCCATGGAGCTTCAGTAGGACAAAGCCATGATCGGGATCACTATCCTGCCAGGCAGCAAAGGAGGATTCTGATCCAAGTCCTAGGCACTGGCAAAGGAAGGGAGCAGAAAAGCCCAGGTCTAGTGATGTCCAGGGAGCCTCAAGCGACCTTAGAGATTTACCCTACATCCACCTTCACGTGTGGCAGCAGGGTCTTCTAACTCAAACTGCCATTTCTGGAGCTCATGCCTGTAACAACCACACTCTGCAAAGAGCTTAGCTTTATACAACTTTTTACAAACAAAATTTTATTCCAGGTGTGTGACCCACCACGTGGGTTCAAAGCCTGGGACTTTTTGCTGCTTTATACTCACACTACATAGTAGTTCACACTACATACAAATCCACACACAGAGCAAGGATGCCAACCCCTGAATCAGTCCAGATCAGATTCTATGCAGGAAAAAAGACCTCAAGATGGGCTTATCCCCTCTCCAAGCGCCTTCTTCGCCAGGTTAAAAAGTAGTAGCAAGGAGTCCTCTCCACAATGCTGGACAAAAAGAGGAGGTTCCCTAAGAAGGGTTCAAAAGCAGGCAGCGAGGGCCGGGGATTTAGCTCAGTGGCTCTGCCTGCCTCAGAAGCACAAGGACCGGGGTTCAATCCCTGGAACCAAAAAAAAAAAAGCAGGCAGCGATCAGCATGCCTACACAGCTCCAAATGTCCCTACCCATACCCACATCTGGCCTCCTGCCACGATTCCCCTTTGAAACCACCATGATGCTCCTTTTCCTCCATGGCACCTCTTCACACATGGGGGTGAGGAGGAAGGGGACAACAGAGCCAGGGGCCCAGGTTCCAGCCCACAGAGCAGCCCAGAGAGTGAACAGCGGGGAGGCCAGCAGGCAGCCTTAACATTTCTTGAGCAGCCAAAAGAAACAAAAGGCGCAAATGTCACATTTCCCTGTTTTCCCATTGGTGGCTCCTTCCCCACCCCTGAGCCCCTCCCTTCCACTCAGCCCCTTCTCCAGCCTCAGAAACACACCGTGCCCACACCCTTCAGAGCGCTTTCCTTGGTATCGTTTTTGAGTCCACAGGAATCACTAATTGCTGATTCAAATCCAGATGCTTAGTAAATGACAAATATAACAAATACAAATTCATTATTAAGAGATGCAAAAAGAAGGCTGCCTGCCTTTTGCTTCTGCCCAAGCACTCTGAAGACCATGTATCCTAACCCACATCTGGCATGTGTGAGTGTATGTGTGAGTGTGAGTGTGTGTGTATGCATGCATGCGTGCACGTTATGTGTGGCTGCCTGCACACGCGAGTGCATGATGGGCAGCAGGGTCCCGATACCAATGAACACACACTGGTTTTGTGACTCAGGCACCAGGGAATGACCTAGGAGAGGCCAAGACTCAGATGCCCAGGTCCCACCTCAGAGTATCTGAGTTTCCTTTGTCTGGGGTCACCGCCTGGGCAGTGAGAGTTTTTAAAAGTTCCCTCCATGATATCAATGTGTACCCTCGTTTGAGAACCACTGACTGAACACAGTTACGGTGCACTTCTAACATCATTCAAGGCAGCTCAGACATTCCGAACACATTATATCCTTTAGCTGCCACAAGGGCGCTTGGTGTTTCATGGAGGCTCACTTATAGATCATGGTGAGTGTGCGTGGACCCAGGTCCTCTAACTCCAAAGTCCATTCTCAGCCCACACACTTGTTCACTTTCGCGTATGCATGGACAGCGTGGAGAAGGAATCCTCACGAGTTTCGGTAAGGGCAAGACCCCGGACTTGGAGATGAGACCGCCACAGGCAGCTGTCAACACCCCTCTGAAGGCAGAGGACCGAATCATAAGGAGCAGATAAGGGCCGTGTCCATGGTTGAGCTTTGAGAAGATAGGGAGAGAGGGATGGCTATCAAGTTGACACAAGACCCAAGGTAAGCTGTAGATACCAACCTGAGGTGTGCTCAATGGTGTAAGGAGAATGGGAAAGTGTGGGGGTCTGAGCGCTTCCCCAGTAAGGGAACCCTAAGACAGAAGTCAGGGGCTCACTTCCCAGGGTTATAGTTTCTTTCTTCTGCTCACTCTGCACTGAGACTTTCTCTAAGGACACAAAAATCATTCCTAGCACATGCTTACTAGGCAGCTTCAGTTTCTCCGCCTCCCCTCCCAAGACGACAAGCTGAGCTTCCACGGTGAAGAGACACAGGAACAGAATCCTCAAATGCTTTAGCGCACAGAACACTTAGCACAAAGCATCCCTTCCACCCCACTCCCACTCCCAGAAAGGAAGGAAGGACGGACAGATGAACACCATCATCATTACTAAAATGACTTTCCTGGCAGAGTAAGAATTATGTTACTGTTACAACCAGGAATGAATGCAGACCAACACAAAAGTGCAAACACTGGAACATCCATTTCTGTTAGTTAACACCCCACGGAGCCAGCCCCCAATCCGCAAGAAGTCCTTACACCATGGATCTGCAGGTCGAGAGACCTCAACCCCAGGCCCAGGACAGCAGACATTCCCACCTCGTCCACCATTCCGGTGGATCCGAAATGGGCCCGCAGGTATTCTATTCCAATCCATGAAACACCACTGTTGCTGATGTCCCCCGAAGCACAGTGTTAAAGGAAAAGAACCACAAGGAATGACAGGAACCAAGAGCAGGTTAAACTTTCACATTGATTGCACTGATAAGCAGAGTCACTCACCCAGCACAGCCAGACAGCTCAGCACCGGGAAAACACACCTCATGGCGGCAGTGGCAGCAAGAGGACACAGCACACGGCACTTCCCCTCCTCCGGGCACCTAATCTCTCATTTCTGGCAATCCACTTAGAGCTCCAGAGAACAGTTTTGGAAACAGAACTTAACTCAGAAAATGAGAACTGGTTAAAAAGCAGCGATCAGAAGGAGGGAGCTGGGGGAAGGGAGGAGTGGCAGATCTGTGAAAAGTCCCCTACGCTGAAGCAAGGATCCAGAGCAATTCTGAAGGTGCTCTAGGCTTCTGCCACATTGCGTGTCTTGCAGTTTCCACAGGATCTGTAGATGCTGGTGGATTAATCCTCGAGGAAAAGGGGGTGGGGGGAGTCTGAGAAAATCCTTTCATCCACTGATTATACAGAAATGTCCTTGGCTTCCCAGTGAAGGTGTCTGTGATCTCCCTCATTCGGATTCTCCAAAGCAAACGGGGCAGGTTTTGTGGAAACCTCCGACAGCCAAACGACCCTGGCTGGTGTAGACAGTCTGGATTTCTTCATCCAAAAGTCCGTCTCCATCCATGGTGGTAGATCATGGGGCTGTCACCTGCCCCACACACCTGCCCGGGACACACGAAGCAAGCGGGCATTCGGCGGGCCTGAAGCGATCTCACACAACGCCAGCAGATCTCTAAAACAAACACAACCGAAATTTATCAAAGGCAAACACAATCGGCACAAAAACCTAGAAGGCTGAGCGCGGGGTTGGTCCGGACACCTGAGTCCCGTGTGTGCGTTCTGACCTTGGGCAAGTCTCCACCTCCCCGTCCGCCTCAGTTTCCCAGTCCACTGCAGCGCAATTGTGGGAAGTCCAATTGTTCCTGAAACACTTTCGCCCAATGCTGCACTCCCAGGGCTTCCCGTCGCCTCCCACGGAGCGGGCCGGGGCAGCCCCACCCTCCGCCCCTCCGCCGGGGCAAATCGGGAAGGGCTCAGA